CCAGCTCTCGCTACGCTCGGGCCCACGCTGTTCTTAGAAGATTTCTCAGAAACGCTTAGTTATAACGGACGAAAAAACCAAAACACCGATCTGCCGCTTGTTGTTTGTTTATTGTTACACCAACATATAAAAGGAATAAGCGAACTAAGGTCTGAAAACAAATATTACAATAATAAATCATTGTTTTACTTCTGACGATGTTTCACTCTTCTTTCTGAACAGCGACCGATGAGACGATGACTGTCGTATTGATGCCTCCGCGAAAATTGGGGAAGTTGATTTTGAGCAAACAACCAAGAATTGATCGTTCAATCTTCAACTCCATTGACAGCGGTTGTGTTTTACACGTTTGCAAGAGGTGCATACAGGGGTGAACTGTGATTAAGTGATCAAGTTACATGGTGAGCTAAATGTGAAATCAGCGTCATCAAGTCCTGACTACGAATTGTGTGACGATAATTGTGCAGTGAAGAAGCCTGTTGTTGAATGGAGTGTCACAGACGACACCGCAGTTTGTGCAGAAGAAAAGAGTTGCAGTTTCAGAGTCTAGTTCTGACCCCAGAAGTTTTCAAAGTATTACTAATCAGAGTAAAGGTCTAGAACGTGTAAGGATTTATGAGGAAGAACCCAAATCATCTACTGATGTTATTAAGGGGTTTGATAATGATGAATTTGACCAGATAGTGAATATTCGTGATAATGATCATGATAGTACACTTTTGTCTATGGTTGAGCATGATGAGATGAGGGGAATTCCTACTACTGCTGAATTGAACAAAGATTCTGTACGACTTGATCGTGAAGTAGAATTAAAGACAGATGCGGTGACAGAAGGTATGGATACTCGTAGGGCCATCAGTGTAAATGACCAGCATGTAGCCCACCTGTCAACAGATGTTAGTGCTAAACCGGAGCTAATCATAAAAGATAGCAGTAGGGGTAATCCTACGGTTAGACAACCTTCTAAATGTCGAATAACAATAGCTTCTGATGCACTGCTAAGTTCATCAGTCTGTGTCACTCAGTCGTCTTTGGCGTCGCCATCCACAATGAAAGAGACGTCCATTAACTCATGTGTCTTATTCTATGACTATGCTAGTATCAGTCCGTTTGAAGAGACGAAAGATATTCCTCAGTCTAGTGAGGATAAGCCAAGTGTAAACGAGAGAGTAATTGTTAAGTTGACTTGCATGAATAAAGGTTTTTCAAGTTCCAAATTACTATTTGAATGCTATTATCTTTGGTGTAAATCGCTCTGTTTCTACGCTTGGTTGATCAGGTACGTCGTGTATTTGTTAGTCATCTATATTCTACGATACAATGACATGGGCGTGTTACCGTTCAGATTTGGGGATTTAGCTCATAGAAGGAAGTCAGCAAATGAACTCTGAGACGATTTTCCAACCTAGGGCGTCAACCTGAGGAGAGTTGTAGGCGTAGTGCTGTAAGTCCTACAGGTCTTCAAGTGCAGTACGTCGAAGTACAGTCCATCGTACTTAGTGTGTTATTTTGTACATATATTCATGTTGTATAAGCTAAATTGGTGTCATCTCTCATCTGTCTGTTGATCAGTTATATTTGTGTCCGGGCGTCTTCCACTTGTATCATCAACCTGAGAAGGAATGTCGGCGTACTGCTATAAGTCCTACAATTCTTCAAAGGGTAGCGCATCAATGAGCATTCCAGTGTGCTTGGTGTGTGATTTTGTACATATGTTCATATTGTATATACTGAATTGATATCATCTGTCATCTAGCTGTTAGTAATTCAGTTTGTGTCCGGACGACTTCCACTTGAATCATCAACCTGAGAAGGAATGTAGGCGTATTGTTGTAAGTCCTACAATTCTTCAAGGGTAGTTCATCAAGGCAGAATCCACCACTTTGATGTGTTGACTGTACATATGTTTGTGTTAAATAATTGTGTGAGTTCCAATTGATGTAATTGTTGGTTAATCTTGTTTGTGTCCGGACATTCCACAACTTACAATCGTCAACCTTTAAAGGGTTGTAGGCGTACTGGTGTAAGTCCTGCAATTCTTCAAGGGTAGTTTGTCGTGCCAGAATCCACCACTTTGATGTGTTGACTGTACATATGTTTGTGTTAAATAATTGTGTGAGTTCCAATTGATGTAATTGTTGGTTAATCTTGTTTGTGTCCGGACATTCCACAACTTACAATCGTCAACCTTTAAAGGGTTGTAGGCGTACTGGTGTAAGTCCAGCAATTCTTCAAAAAAATCCACCCAGACATGATCGGCGAGGTTATTTGTACTGTTTGTGTATACATGTGGTGTGTCATATCAATTGGTGTATTTTGGATTCATTGTGTTTGCTCGTTGTTTTCGTACCTTGTTGTTATTGCGTAATTTTGTTAAAATTTTCGTCGTGATTATTTCTGAAGTTGTTTCGAGTCTTCTACATTCGTGAATGAATTGATTGATGTTAAGGACAGCAGATGGGTCGTATACGCCGGGGAGGCTATTGCTGAGAATGAAATGCATACGGAAATAATTGTTAGCTGCGGTCCGACACGCCGGGGAGCGGGAGTGTAAACGACTGAGGCTCACATACGTCACCGTTACTAGAACTGAGGCAGAATGAGTGACAAGCGATTTCAGTGGTAATTGGTAGTGAGTAGATAAGAGGATGTGCGTAGAGTATCGTGAGTTGGTGCTATGGTCACGTAGCATTCTGCAAGAGTCATTCTAGCAAGTGGCGATTATGTTGCAAGAGCAGGCCTTTAACTGGAAGGCGCAGGTCGTCATTGATGTGTGAGATTGTGCTGTGAGTATGCCTGTGGTGTGTTGGCTTTTCCGTTTGTCTTCCACTTGAGCTCTGTCCTTGTGACCCAGGTTCCTGCACTGGCATCCAAGTCAACGTGCATTGGTCGTGAAGGAAAAAAGGGTTGGATCCCTTTTTGCCGGGGAGTGTCAATGGAGTTGAAGATTGAACGATCAATTCTTGGTTGTTTGCTCAAACCCAACTCCTCCATATTTTTAGTGGGAATCATCAATACGGTAGTCGTCGTCTCATCGTTCTCTGTTCGTTGGAAGAGAGAAAATTTTCAGAAGTATTATCGTGATTTATTGTTATAACATTTATTATTAGACCTTGTGTGTAATAACCTTATTTTCGGTTACATATTGGCGTAAGAATTAAGGATTCTTGAGTCGTCAATCTGTGTTCTGGTTTTCCGCGTTGGTTATTAGAAATTGTTTCTGAATGTCTTTCAGGGACTGCATGAGGTGCAGCGTAGTAAGAGCTGGACACTGACATTTCCAGTTATGAGACGGGTGAGCTTCCACTGGGTCAGGGTTATGGTGTCAGACTGAGTTCCCTTCGTCTGTTTTATTTAGAGATAGGACTATGCAGTTTTGGTAGATTTTGAAGAAATCTTCGCTACTTTCCACTGCTGGGAGCTGAGGTGATGCCAATGGGTGAGATGACTGCTGTATGAAGACCTCGGCGAAAATGCCTGCTTTGTTTCGCTTCCTTCTAATCCTCTTCATCTGAGAGGTTATTAATAATGAGATTCGAGATTCCGTTGGATTTCTTATTCCCAACATTCATACACGGAAGTGCCTTCTTGAGTTGTGCAGCGTCGTATCAAGCTACAGGCATTTCGATTTTCATTCGTGATTGACGATATCCTGCAACGGATCTATTTCTGACTATTGCGTGAGTGTTTCTAGTCTCAGGAGTCCCAAATGAGATAAAATGGTTCCAGAAGTTATCCCTTTGCATGAATGTTTCACAACTTCTCAATTCACCTCCATGAAGGGGTAGTGTTATATACTTTTCGGGACTGACCATAGCATGAATAGTTGGGTTACCCGGGTGTAAATTCGATTGAATTGCCTCCATGAAATTAACTCGTGAGACTTTAGATTTGGGTACTAGTTCTGTGACAGATGAAAACGACGGGATTTGTGTCAGCTTTCTAGACCTTTGTTACAGCCGGCGTTTTGTTTCAGGTTACTGATGCAGCTGCGGGCGTGAGCCCTGACACACTTTGACCATTTCTTTCTAGGAGTTACAGATGTTTAAGGCTCATATTCTCCGCATGGAGGGAGACGAGGTTCAGGACGGAGGAGGACAAATGAGTACCATAACTAATGGGCTTCTTGACAAGAGGACCGATTCCAACAGTTTGTGGTCAAAGGAATCGTCTGAATACGAATTGCAAGGCTGATGCAGTCAGTTGATAAGATGTCTAAGTCACCTACTGCGAGACTGTGACATCTGAATGAGGCTAGTTTCTCTATTAGAAAGTCGTCTGGATTGCAATCAGGACTGCAACATGTTGTAATAAGGCTGATATCATGTCCTTTGTATTTAAGGTTCGCAGCGCAAGACCCACTCTATGTGCCATAGCTTCAACGACGCGGAAGGCTAAGCACTTATTGAGGTAGATGACTAATCCACCCACTATGCAGAGAGGTGACAATCTTGTAAACAAACTAATATGGAAATACATACTACCACAGTGACCAAGTTTTACAGATGTAGTAAGGTGATATCCGAGTTTTCAGAGTCTTCCCTGAATTCTGAAGGTTCATCGTAGACAAATTGTTTCGTCGGTCATTTTATTCCCTTAGAAAGAAGACAATGCGACTGATAAAGATGATTTCGGCTCCTGTGACATTTAATGACATCCCATATGATAAAATGTCTTTAACAAAGTGAATCAACCACTTTTCAAAACTTGCTCTCAACTCAATTGATAAACGGTTTCTTTCCTTGCATGGCTGATATTTAACAATGTAGGCCATAATCAGCAGTGGTTATATTTTCCCAAAGAATCTAAGACTATCAGCCTCAAAAGTAAGATTTAAAAAAGCGCGCATTGTGTGTTTAGATGAACACAAAAGTAGATCTGAACATCCGGCGCCGTTCTATCAGCGTTACGAGCGGACTTTTTGAATCATTTGACTGGCTAATTGTAAGTTCATAGAAAGGTCTAATTTAATGTTAAGTGCAGAAAATTTCAGAGTTATTATGTCTGCTGTGGCAATGAAAAGCGGTGACAGTCCTGCTAATGACGATTGGAAGTCAACTCTAAAGTTACCAGAGAAGGATATGCGGATCAAAACTGCTGATGTTACTGCGTTAAAAGGAAGTAGCTTTGAAGACTTTTGTCTCAAGAGGGACATCCTGAAAGGGATTTATGAGAAAGGATGGGAGTTCCCCTCACCTATCCAGGAGTCAAGTATACCTATTGCCCTCACCCACCGAGATATCATGGCAAGGGCTAAAAATGGAACCGGCAAAACGGGAGCCTACTCAGTGCCTGTATTGGAATCTATTGATACTTCTCTTAATAAAATACAAGCTATTATTCTGGTCCCTACACGAGAACTTGCATTACAAACCAGTCAGATATGTATAGAATTAGCCAAACACACTGCTATCAAAGTCATGCTGGTAATTGGTGGAACACTCCTAAAAGATGATTTAATACGACTCAGTCAGACGGTTCACATTTTAATTGGTACTCCTGGTCGGTTGGTAGATCTACTCAGCAGAGGTCTTATTGACATAACCAAGTGCAAAATTGTTGTTCTGGATGAGGCGGATAAACTGCTTTCTGAAGAACTCAAAGGTGGAGTTGAGGAGATTCTTAATGGCGTAGATAAAAGTCGCCAAGTCCTCGTTTATTCAGCAACATATCCAGTTACAGTTCAGTCGTTCATGGCTCAACATCTACGCAATCCATATCAAATAAATCTAATGGAGACACTCACTTTAAAAGGAATAACAGAATATTACGCTTATGTCCAAGAGAAACATAAAGTAAGTTGCCAGTTATTTCGCTAATATGAGTTCTAGGTGCATTGTTTAAATACTTTGTTTTCCAAGCTTCAGATCAGCCAGTCCATAATATTTTGTAGTTCGGCTCAACGAGTTGAACTCCTTGCCAAAAAAATAACCCAGCTGGGATATTCCTGTTACTACATACATGCTAGGATGTCACAGCAGGATCGCAACCGAGTCTTTCACGATTTCCGAAATGGTTGTTGCCGTAACCTCGTTTGTACAGATCTACTAACTCGTGGTATCGATATTCCCACCGTGAATGTTGTCATAAATTTCGACTTCCCTAAATATTCTGAAACTTATTTGCACCGTATCGGCAGATCTGGTCGGTTTGGTCATTTGGGCATAGCCATTAATCTCGTAACATACGCCGATCGGTAAGTGTTGAATACTAACTTTATGTACTTCTTATAGGTATGCTTTAAAAACAGTGGAAACTGAACTGGTTACAGAAATCAAACCTATCCCCAAGGAGATTGACAAACGTTTATACGTGGCTGAGTACCAAAACGAAAATAATCTGGATCCAACAACTAGAGAAGCTTTGTTCAATGGTCGCGGTTTGCCTCCTGATAATAAGGAGGAGGTTCTAAACAATCATTAGTGCATATGACTTCCCGGTGACTCCTAGGCGTTAGCCTGAGATGCTCGCCAAAGTAGAACCCCTGATTTTTGAGTTTAGGTTATCCCAATTATTTTCACAGCTTCGATGGATCCATTCCCACTCGTGATATGCTGTATAGTTTAATTTGCCCCTTCTGTCCTTTTCAGTTTGGGGTTTTTTTTCAAATGTTTATTTTTTTGTTATTATATTTAGTCCTTACCAGAACTCCCTATCCCCTGTATTATATTCCAGATGTACAGTTGGCTAATATGCCCTTTATACTTTAACTTTCATGTACAGCTTCTGAGTGGTGACCGTTCTATGATAGCTTTACACTTGTGAAATTTTTTGCATTTTGGTCGCACTATCCAGTTAATGTGTACCACTCAGTGAATCTGCTAAATTAACGCACACTTTATGTTATCGATGCATGACAATTTAGACTGTTTACCATCTTGTTCGCTGTAGAAAGACCCCCGTGGCTGCGTTGAATCCATATGGTGGTAATAATGGATGAGTTTTGGATTCACCAGCCACCCATCCCCTTTTCTTGTATGTGGTCAGTGATGTCCTTACTTGCTTGCTCTTGGTTGTTGTCATTTTTCAGGAAGCTGACCATTTGGTGTTTTTGTTCAAGTTAAAAATAAAGGTTCTTGGTAGATTAACTGTGTTGTTGTATGTTGATTACAGTTGAAGTTAGGTGGGAATTCGCTCGCGGTGTCGTGCAATCTGCAGGAATAACCATTCAGCTAAGTTTAACAGGAAGTGAGTATTTGTCTGACTAGTGGTTTTTTATCTGAATAAGTCCTAGCAGTTGACGTTGACTTCGTCGCTGAGCGACGCCCCACCAATGTGTCGTCCTATGTGTATTCTGTGACATTGCGGTGCGTTAGGGCAGTACGTCAACTGTGGCTCTTTTTCGTGAAGAATGGTCATAAAATGGTACGTCATTGCGATTAATTCAAAATGGCGTGATGCCGTCGTGAATAGTCACTTATTGCACGCTCATCAGGTGTAAATTTTGTATTGGTGGTGCCCCTGGACTGCTGTTGGTCTTCCTTGCTAGACATCCTACATTGTGGTGCCACATAACTCTGGTTCATCATATATACTTGTCTGTCGTGGACAAATGTAGTCAGTTGCTGGTTCCTTTCACCTCGACTAACATGGATTTCCACATTCATAGTCGACAACTGTCTCATTAAGTTTTACATCTAAGTTGTTTACTGCTATGTGATCTCTAATTAGCTCTTGTTAGGCACTGTCTGATCCTTAGCGTGGTCTGAGGGATATTGTTGAGTGGTGTTTTTGCAACCATATGCGTGTAAGCGGAACATCAAGCGTGTAACTTCACATAGTTTTTGTTTCTTTACGAAGAGGTTATACACATGGCTTATTCCTGTCAGCTGTGGTATCCTAAAGTGAATTCACCACTCACCAGCAGTCATTAAGATTTTCTACTGTGTTACTAAGATATCCTAGTGATTGCTGACGGTAGATTATTTGTTGAAGGGCAAGCTTTAGACAGCTGTCTACCCAATATCATCCACAGTTGGTGGTATTAATCGGACATTGTCCTTAAGTGAAATGACCAGGATGCCATCGAGACGTCCAAATTTAATATAATCTAAACACTTGACTAACTATACCCATACTGAGTTGCAGGTATTCTTCATGCTATGTCGGTGGTTTACTGGCAGAGTTCTCGCCCGCTACGTGGGAGGTCCCTTCAATGTACTCCTAGATCTCAGTTAATTACTAGTTGACAGTAAGCTCCGAAAAGAAGAAAGGTTGGGCTAGCAACCCAACCCATTAGGAACAACACTCCTGTAAGTTCAAAGCTTGACTTCCTGTTAACCACTCTAAATCCAAAGCAATGAAGAGGAATTCCTTCAGGAATGTCGAAGGTCTACTGGTTTAGGGTTTTCTTGTTGGAGTTACACTCAGGAGACTCTGTTAACTTTTAGACAGGAGTTTCAGAACTAAAATACCCTATCTAGCGAGTTCTGATACAAGCCTTCTGTGAATTGTAATTTAGGCTCAATAATCATGCGTAGACTAAGTGGTGCTCGGGAAGCACAAACACGAGAGAGCCAGGCAGGCTTTAGACCAGGAAGAGGGTGTATTGATCATATCTTCACCCTCCGACAGATTCTAGAACATAGGAATTCCTACCGGCGTCCAACAGTCATTATATTTCTTGACCTAAAGGCAGCATTCGACTCTGTCGATCGGGAAGTTCTCTGGAGATGCTTGGCTGTAAAGGGAATTCCAAGAAAATATATTGCACTGATTAAGGCACTCTACTCGTACTCATACAGCCAGGTGAGGGCTTACGGCGAGCTGTCATCTGAACTGATGACGACCAGTGGTGTCCGTCAAGGATGCCCATTATCTCCGCTCCGTCCTCCTTTATGGTTGTGAGACCTGGCCACTGAGAGTGGAAGACATGAAAAGACTAGCTGTCTTTGATCATAGGTGCCTGCGTTTCTATTTCCCGTGTGAAGTGGTATAATAAGGTGAGCAACATGGAGGTTAGGCACAGAGTTCTAGGTAAACAGGGGAAATCAATCGACGAAGTCGTGAAGCTACAAAGACTGAGATGGTTAGGACATGTGTTACGTATGCCAAGCCATCGCCTCCCTCGACGAGCAATGTTAGCGGATATAGGGTCAGGCTGGAAAAAAGCTAGCGGTGGTCAAACAAAAACTTGGCATCAGTCAATGAAATCCACAACAGTTGGTCTAAGCCACGTAGAAAGGTGAAGACTTCCAGGCTGGGGTCCTCGGGACGGTAAAAATCTATGGTTGGAAACAATTGGTGACATGGCTCAAAATCGTTCTCAATGACTGGTGCAGGTGCATCCACTCCCTGTGACTTATGATCTTCAATGAAACTGTTTTGTATTTCTTTATTACTCCTTTGTCTCACACCTCTGCTCACTGTTTCTATTATGCTTTTCTTGTACTTTCTTCTCTTGCTTCGCGTGCTACACGGAGTGTGGCGACTTGAACTTCCGCACATTTGTGCAAAGTTCTATGTCAAAAACAGACAGACAAATTGTAATTTAGCAGTCCTAACTTTTAATAAAGAGTAGAAGGCTGTTTGCAAGTATAGATCCTTCACTGACAGTCATGAGGAGTACAGTCGATAGGAATTTGCCAGCATTGTGATTGTCGTAAGTGTATTATACATTAATGCATTATTAGCACATTAGCAGCTTTATTAAGATTATGTCAAGTTGTGGATACTCTGTATCAAAAGGAATTGGAATTTAGTGTGGGTAAATCCATACAAAAGAAAATAAATAATTAGAAATGAAAATCGCACTAAGAAAGTTGTCAAAAGTGTTTGAGTTAAAAAGACCATCAATGATATGAGAATGAATATATATAGGTGAAAAGTGCAACCATACTTAATCAGAAAATTATGCCTTGACAACAACCCTTTTCAAACTATAAGCTACTACTAGAGTTAATTAACAAAGTATTTCTTACTAATTTTATTCATCAAGCGCAAACTTCTACTACTACTTCAGAAAGAAAACCTAATGAACTCTTAGAGAATGATGTGGAAGCTAGTTTGGAGATTTTCATAATCATGGTAAATTGACTGGGAAACAACTTCCTCATTGTTAATAATAATTCGCTTTATTCCTAAATAGTACTGTGTGGAATTTTCAGCATTTGGTATAATATTCCATCAAATTTTATAGAATAACATTAAAAATAATAACGAATAAAACAATTCCAACAGTGGTGTGAACACGGGCAGTAATTTTGCTCGAAATATTACCAATAACAAAACTTATCATTGTGTGTAAACTATTAAAATATAATTATACTTTATTAAAAATAATGTTACAAGATTGTTAATGACAGTTCTTATTTGGTATTTGTAATGACAGTAACGTCATGAACACACATAAAATTGTTAAATAATGTTAATGGCGAAGATTGTCAGTTAATTCAGATAGTGTCATCATAGATTACATATAGGAGATAATAAAAGTCGATTATTTTGCTGACAACATAGTAATTCATAGGTTTCCTGCTTAACACAGTAACTATCGCATAGAACACTTGACAAATATGGTATTGTTGAATTCCTATACTTGATAGTACGAGCATACAATCTTTTGTACTGACTCCTAGTTATACCAGATGAGATATAAGGGAGGGGGAGTTGGGAATGGAGGGGGTGTTGGTAGTCAGATAATGTGGATTTAAACCAATTTTCACGTGAATTCGGATGTCCGTCAACTAATGTAGTAACAAATTGACGAGGTTGCACACCATCCACCGTGTTGACAACCTTTAATACCCTTCTTTAAATGACCTAGTCATTTTCCAGTATTCTGGGAAAGACTAAAGGGAATCAGTAACGTACAACAAATCGCAAAAATGGAGGTTGCATGATTCCAGATTGTCTTAACTTCTTAATGCAGTAGCTTAGACGGGGTATGTTCTTGGAGAGCAACAAAGTATGGGATGACCAAGTAAAGTCAGATGATATAAATAATGTTGCTACCACTACAGCTAACTATATATATGCTGTTCTACAATCATTAGAACTTCGTTCTATCAGGTTGTGCCGTTTGTCTGTCTGTTTTCGATGTGCAGCAGTTCAAGTGGACACACTCCACTCCTTGTAGTACACAAAGCAAGAGAAGAAATGCATAATAGAGACAGCAAACTGAGGTGTGAGACAAAGGAATACTAATAACATGGCTGGCTTAAACTAACTCGTGGATTTCATTGACTGATAAAGCCATGTTTTGGTTTGACTGCCACTAGCTCTTCTCCAGCCTGACCCTATGTCATCTAACATTACTCATTGTCGAGGAAGGCGATGACTAGGCAGGCATGCGTAACACATGTCCTAACCATCTCAATCGGTGTAGCTTCACAGCCTCGCCGATTGGTTTCCCCTCCTTACCTAGCACTCTACCGACGCCCAACCTCAGTATTGCTCACCTTCACACGGGAGATAGAACGCAT